AAAAAATAAAGAAAAAGAAATGGTTGGCAGGTCCGTCAGGAGATCCTGTAACCCACTAGGAGTCTGATTCCTGCGTTAACACTTATCAAGACTCAACTTCCATAGAAATAGGCTCCCATATCAGTACAGTTTTACCTACCCACTTGCTTCACTCTTGCCAGTAGCAAGTCTACAACTCCTGCCATTAGGCAAAGGGATTTATTACAGAGAAACCCAGACTCTGCATCAAGTAGTCACACACCACTTTGACATATTTCTATTGAACCAAAGATACAAAACTAGGAAATTGCCAGGCTGTCTCATTAGATGGACAGAAACTTTTCAGTAATCCTGGGTATCTTCCTGAAGTCCCTTTTCAGGATTAATAAATGACTGGATAGTTTAAGCTGTAATTATCAAAAAGAGAAGTGCTATATCACCTGTCGTTCACCCCTGACTTTAAAGACACACCAGAGGGTTGATAACAGAGCTACCCTGGGACAATTGCTACATTTACAGAATATCCAGTAACTTAAAAGTTTTGGCACAGGTATATCTGGAATTGTCAGATACCATGCAAGATTCATGAAACCTAAGTGGGTTTTAAGTTGAGGTTCTGCTCATGTTTCTTTGAGTTTATAAGAACAGATCAGTGAGTCCCTTGGCCTGAGCAGAAACCATCCTCTTGTCACTGCAGTTAACTTTACAGTTAGACCTGATTCCAGGAGGCTATAGCAGCACCTGAAGTAGAGCTCCCTGCATCTATTGCCCCTTACATCAAAGGCTATTTGGTTCCCCTCTAGGGATTGGCAATTTCACAATTCTAATGCATATTTCAGGTCACTTACTTAACCAAGCCATATGCTCTGTCAAAGAACTTCTTCCAAGTTAAAGTAAAAAAAAAAAAAAAGGAAAAAGGCATTAATGTGGAACATAGAGAAAACACAGCTCAAATAAAAAAATTACTAAAAGAAACAGGATTATTCCCTCCCATGCCCCCTTCCCACTTGGTGGACCCAAGTTTCATTGAATTTGTGGTTACCTCAGAATACAAATCAAAGTTTAAATTAGAAATCACAGCCCTACACAGAGTGTCTGAACACATCTGTTCTTTTGAAAGCAGCACCTTCCAGGAAGTCTAACAGCCACAGTCCGCTACAGAGAGCATTCCTGGTGGGTGGGGCACAGGACAGGTTAATTAAGGTCACTTAAATATTCACCTTTTTGCCCAACTGGTGTGACTCAGTGGTTGAGTGTTGACCTATGAACCAGCAGGTCATGGTCGGGGCACATGCCCTGGTTGCAAGCTTGTTCCCCAATACAGGGCGTGCAGGAGGCAGCCAATCAATGATTTTCATCATTAAAGTTTCTATCTCTCTCTCTCTCCCTCTCCCTTCCTCACCAGTTTGACTCAGTGATTATAGTGTTGACCCTCAGACTCAAGGGTCTCAGGTTTGATTCCGGTGTCAAGGGCACATACTTCAGTTGCAGCCTCGACCCCTGACCCCAATTGGGGCACATGCAGGAGGCAATCAATGTGTGTCTCTCACATTGATGTTTCTCTCTGTCTCTTCCCTTTCCTTCCACTCTCTCTAAAAAAAATCAATGGAAAAAATAGCCTCAGATGAGGATTAACAACAACAAAAAAATCATCTTTTATAGCAAATCAAAACTCAGACAGATGATTCTCTGCAGGATTTCTGATAGGTATCCAGCAGAGCTGGTTGCAAGTTTTGCATCGCCACTTAACAGCTGTAACCTTCTAATCCAGAAGTTGTCATCCACATGAGTCCACATGAGTGCAGCAAATTTGAGATACTCAACCTTACAAAGGCTCAGTACCTGAACATAAAAAGATTTTGAAATAACCACTGGCTGCCGTGTGTGTGTGTGTGTGTGTGTGTGTGTGTGTGTGTGTGCGCGCGCGCGCGCGCATGTTTTTTTTTTGTTTGTTTTTTTTTTACAATCTCCCTAAATTCAATATACATGAAGAGCAGTTGTGACACTTGAAACTTCCATAGTGCAATAGGGCCAGTCACTTATATAGAGGGGTCTGCATTGGTTGCTGTCAGTCCAGCAGAAATCAGATGATAATGGCTGTTCGTGGTGATTAGTGTGGTCTAGTTACCTTAGAAGGGTTAGCAAAGACCATTCCTTAATTGTACCGTATGTTTGTTTTTTGTTTGTTTATTTTTTTATTTTTAAGCATAGTATGCTGGTTGTCCAGCTGAAGTTTAAGGGCCTGGTTTTTTGAAACCTCATCTCTGCCTCTAGTTTTGTGTCTTACTAATGACTTCAAAGCTCTTCTTCATTTCTCTATCCTTTTGGCTTTTTACCTTCTTGGCAATGGACTGCAGGGATGGGAATGGTGTATCACTGTATGTTTTCTGGTGGCCCTTGTGATGTTTTCCTTGTGGTTAACCTGGCTCCAGGAGGCCTATAGACACCATTAGTCATTGCCAGTTCTGAGGTTTCTGTAACAATTACTGGAGCAGGGGGTGCTTGTATCAGAGCTGTTTTATTCCAGGGACCTGAAGATTTTTCTACACCACCACCTTCACCTTTTTTCCAATTATCACCTGGATCTTCTCTTTTTTCACTGTCATCTTCTTCCTCTTCACTTATTTGCATCACCTGAACTGTGAGGCTTTTGTAGTCAACCTTTTAAAAAAAAATCTATTTTTATTGATTTCAGAGAGGAAGGGAGAGAGAGAGAGAGAGAGAGAGAGAGAGAGAAACATCAGTGATGAGAGAATCATTGATGAGCTGCCTCCTGCATGCCCCACAACCCAGACATATGCCCTGACCAGAAGTCGAACTGTGACCTCCTGGTTCATAGGTCAACATTCAACCACTGATCCACACCAGCCAGACTAGTCAACCTCTTGTTTTGCTCAAATTCTTTCCATTCATCTTCATCCTTCCTCATGGTGGCAGCCCCAGGCCCCCCCCCCCCCCCCCGCGCTCTCTGTCCGGTTGCTTCGCTCCTTCTTCTTGCTTTCCCTCTAATCAAAGGAATTGTCTAGGCTCTGCTCCTGCGTTTAGGCCATGGCCTTGGCCTTCTCCACTGGATGGGTGGGGCTGGTGGTAGGTGCGGCCCGTGGGACTCCAATAATGGTAATAATTTGAATGAGGCCATAGCTACACATATGCTCATCAAGCCTGCTTTATGATTGTAAAAATGAAAAATCATGTAATTGTGCAACAATAAAGGATTGGTTGAATGAAATCATAGCTACTGTGGATTATTAGGAGTTAAAAATCAGGTTGTTAAGCTATTTAATCAGCCATGGGAAAGGATTACAAATATTAGGTACCTTCTGATCTCATTTGTATGTTTTTACAAATGTGTATATGTGTAGCCAAAATATATCACTAGGAGGTGATACACTGGCTTATTAACAAGGGTTTATGTGGGCTGTATACTTGTAGAATATTTCCATTTTAAAATTTCAATTTATCTTTAGTTTCCAGAATTTCTACATAGAACATGTTTATTTTTTAAGTAGATTTTTATTTCTGAGAGGAAGGGAGAGAGAGAGAGAGATAGAAATATCAATGATGAGAGAGAATCATGATCAGCTGCCTCCTGCACACCCCCCACTGGGGATGGAGCCTGCAACCTGGGCCTGTGCCCTTGACCAGAATCAAACCTGGGACCCTTCAGTCTGCAGGCTGACGCTCTATCCACTGAGCCAAACAAGCTAGGGCTGGAACATGTTTCTTTTATAATGAAAAAAGATGGTAGTTTTAAAATGCTTTCTGGCCCTAACCGGTTTGGCTCAGTGGATAGAGCTTCAGCCTGCGGACTCAAGGGTCCCAGGTTCGATTCCGGTCAAGGGCATGTACCTTGGTTGCGGGCACATCCCCAGTAGGGGATGTGCAAGAGGCAGCTGATCGATGTTTCTCTCTCATCGATGTTTCTAACTCTCTATCCTTCTCCCTTCCTCTCTGTAAAAAATCAATAAAATATATTTTAAAAAAAATAAAATGCTTTCTGGAAGAATTTCCTTTTAGCTATTTGGTAAAGTCCACGATTGCCTCTACCCTGTATTTGCGCAATTCCAATTTTAGTTTAGCAGAGGTTGGCAAGTTTCTTAAGATTGGCAGGATTTATGACAGTTCAGCCAGTTCTGCAGAACCGTTGACTAGGCCCGGAGGATTATCCCCTCTTCCACCCCGTGTACAAAGAGTTTTATTGAGCTGTTAAGACCATGTAGTCATTGAACAGGACTGGACATGAAGCAATACAGGCCCCAGGAACTGGGGTGACCTGCGAGAGCTCCCTCCTGGGACTTCCACTTGCACGGGCCTGGGGATCGGCCAGTGTGTTTGCTGGTGTTTGTACTTTAAAGGTTCTCAGGTCAAAGGTTGTGGCTGCAATGTGTTCAGGGAACATGCTCAGGCCTCTCCACCAGGGGTCCCTTATAACAAGTGATGTCCAGAAGCCTCTGGATAGAGACCTCAGGGCCTTGTTGCGGAGCGGGGAGGGTGTTCTGGGGAGTGTCACTGCTGCCCGCTCAGGCATAGCCAGGCATTTCCATGCAATCACCCCAAAGTACCAGTCTCAGAGTCACTAAAGCCTGGCTGTGATGTGAGTGATATGGAGGCCACAGAAACTGCAGTCAGGGGCGCCCTACAAAATCAAAGAGCTATATTTTCCAAAAACAGTTTTCACAGCACTTAAAAAAATTTACAAAAAAAGGTACAAAAATCATCCCTGGCCAGTGTGGCTGTGGTTGAGCATCGACCTATGCACCAAGAGGTCCCCAGTTTGATTCCTGGTCAGGGCACATGCCCAGGTTGTAGGCTCAGTCCCTAGTAGGGAATATAGCTGATCAATGATTCTCTCAGGATTTCATCAGTGTTTCTATCTCTCTCTTCCTCTCCCTTCTTCTCTCTCTAAAAATCAATAAAAACATTTTTTTTAAAAAAAAAGGAAATCCAAGGGTGGTGCCTGGTCATACTGTTAAACAAATAAACAATAAAAGGTATAAAAATCATATTTATTAGGACACATGTTAAATAAGGGCATCGTTTCCTGTTAATGTATGTATGTACAGGGCGGTTACAGTGGCCCCCGTTCCTCCGCTACCCACAGTGTCACCTATACATGCACAGGTACAAGCACATACATGCGCCATCCACAGATACGCTGGCACCAGGACCTGTACTCACAGCTTGAGGACTTTGCCCCTGACCGTGGGCCACCGTCCTCCATGGAGATGTCGCTCAGCTCACTGGGGTCACTGCCCCATGCCTCCTGTTCTCCTGCCTCTATCCACCCTCCATCTATACCTCAGGTCTAAAATGTCCTCATCTGAACCCAAGTTCCTGCTGTCGCGTGAGCCGAGTGCTGCCAGTGCCTTCCTCTTGGGCCAGTGCCCACACTTCTTCTTCATGAGCAAGTGTGAGCTTCCAAACATGGGCCACTCTGCAGTCCCAGAAGGCGAGCCCCCCAGGAGGCATTATGCGCACAGTGGAGAGCAGCGGGGAGAAGCCTGCAAAGGGCGGGCCTTTCTTGGGGCCAGTGGTGAGGCCGGTCCCCTTCTCCCTCTCACTCTCCAGTTCCCCTTTCCACGCCATATCCCTGCCTTCCAAGCTCAGCGCCCACGTGCTCTGTAGCCAACTCTGGTGGGTGAAGTCGCCCCGTGGGAGAGCGAGGTGGACCTGGGGTCCCCCTCCCTGTCCCCTTCCGGCCTGCAGCTCCCAGAGGTCATGGGCAAGGCCCCAACTGTGGGCCACCGTGGGCTCTGGTCTTTGTGAGGATAACGTTTTCTCATACCTGCAGGTGACCCTCTGGCAGACAAAGGGTCCCACTGGTGCTTCTGGGTGGCGCCAGCTGGCCTCTGGACAGAGCAGTGGGGAGGCAGGCCGGCTCTGTGCGGGGCCACCCCTCAGTCTGTAGCTGGCTGAGGGGTCCCCCTGCCCCTCCGGCCCTGTGTGACCAGGGCTGGGGCCACCACCTTCCGGCACAGTGGCTCTGGCCTGGGCACACTCCCCAGCTGAGCATGGTGGGAACCCCCTCCTTGAATTTCTGAACCGCACAGGCACTCCTTGTCCTTTTTGGCCAAAACCTTCCAGATCTCCAGCTCGATGCTGTTGTCACTGTCCACGGAACTGATGTCAGACTGAGAGCTGGGGCTGGCGGCTGATTGGTGAAGGTTGTGGGCCTCCGCCTTGCTGGAGAACAGATGCCCTTCCCAGGCTCTTTAACCTGATGGGAAGGCCAGGGACGTGCTCAAGGGCCAGGCCCAGCCCTGCACAGCTTTGTTCTCTCTGTGGGGCTGTGCAAGCTGCTGGAAGGTTTCCTCAGTGGGTCCTCCCCGCTGTCCCTTTTGGACTTTGACAGGCGGCTTTTCAACAAGGGCGGGCTTCTGTCCTTCCAGCCTCTCTGGAGGCCACCCGCTGACCCAGGGCCCGTGTCTCCGTGCACCTTCCTGCACACAGCTCTGGAGTCCTGACACCTACAAGGCTTCTTGAGCTTCCACTTGGATCGTAACAAGTCCTTCATGGCGGTGTCCAGGTCCTCGCCGATGTCCAGTGAGCTACTCCTGTCCTAGGAGCTCTCCTTCTCGTCCACACTCCTCGCCTCCACAGCCTTCCCGTGGCCCAGTGACACGCTGCCCCTCGTGTCCAGGGCCACATGCTCATCACCTAGCCCGACAGTCCTGCAGGGGAGAGGCTACCTCCTGGCCTGCCCTCCCTTCCAGGCGCCTCGCTGGCTTTTCCTTGGCCGGGCTGTTCTTTTCTCTGGCCGAGGGCAGCATCTGGGGCACCCTCCTTTGCCACCTCTCTTGTTTTCTTGGGTATGGACGGCCACAGGGGTGTTGCCGCCTCCTCTGCATTGCCCTTTGCAGCTCAGTGACAGGTCCAGTGTTTTAGAGACAGGGGCCTTGGGGCCACCAGCCTGCCCGTTGGGGCCAGGCAAGGCCAGTGGGCTGTGTGAGGACTGTGGGCAGGTGTCCCTCCTGGCCTGTGCTTTTAGTGCCCAAAACGTCCGGATCTCCTGCTCTAGGCTATCGTCACTGTCCACGGAGCTGCTGTCACCTTCTGAGCAGGAAGGCACATTTGGGGACAAGGTAGCGGGCTGGCAGACAGAGGTCTGTCACCACCCTCCCCGGGGGTCGCAGGATCATTTTGGAAATGTCCAGGATCCCTTCAGTGCACATCAGCTCCGCAGACATGTCTGCCCGACACAAGGGCCAGTCCACAAACTTGCTCTTGGCTGCTGTTCCTGGGGCTACAAGGGCTTTGGCTTCTTTCGGAGGCTTAGAGGCTGGTCAGGCTCAAGGCCACCCAGGCCATGGTCCACAGCCTTCGAGGCCAATGGCTTCCACTTGCCTGGCATTTTCCTGGGGGTTTGGGGCAAGGCAATTTTTGTGGCATGGCTCGTGCCATGGATAGGAAGGCCAGGCTGCTCCTCCTTGGGCAGGGTTTTCTGCTGTGGGTCCCTGCTCACCTCCTTCCTCTTCTCCAGCCAGTACAGTTGGATGACCTCCTCCAAGCGGTCGTCACTGCCTGAGCCCCCAACTCTTGTGGCCTTGTAGATTTTTGTGAGTGAAGAACTTAACAAAGAAAGAAGCTGCAAGCTGTAGTGATGAGTGCAAAGGCCACTGAGCAGCTGCCCCATTACCCCTACCATCCGTATTTGCCATTGGACAGTCTACTTTGGTTTGGCCTGGTTGTTTAATTAACAACCTTTGTCTGAGTACTAGAGTGATACAGATTCTGTCTCTTTATTTAGTAGCACTTGGTGGCCCCCAACGGTAGTTAACTATTGACTATGAAGATAGTAGTCACCCCTTAACTCAGCTGAGTACCCAGCTAACTCATTCTTAAAGCACACCTGGAAGATGGAAGTTTCTAAAAGTTGCTTTACTAATGAAGACAGCAAGGCACCAAGAGGTTAAAAGATTGGCATATTTACCAAATTCTAGTATAGTGCTTGTATGGGTCAGGCACTATTCTAAGTGCTTGGCAAATTTTAAGCCATATATGCTTCATAACAACCCTATAACATGAATATTGCCATTATGATCCTTTTGAAAATGAGGAAAACCAGGCACAGAGTGGTTAGGCAACTTGACCAAGGTCACACAGCTAAGAATTGAACCTGGATTTGAGACCAGGGGGACCGGTTCTAGAGTCCATGTGCTATGCTGCCTCTCCCAAAGCCTGTTCTTAGGTTTCCAAAGGCTGCTTCTGTTTGGGGACCAGCCACAGAAAATGACTGACAGCAACTTTATGCAGGAGTAATCAGCCATGATCTGCATGATGGGAGAACAAGGGCAGACTTAGAAGGATGTGTGATGTGAAGCAATCATTGATCCGATGAAAGCCAGCCCAGAGTGATACAACCCACAGAAAGAAGGAAATCTTTGCCCTCGCTCTTGTTGGGGCATGCAGAAGAGGTCAAAGGCAGCACTAATCCTGAAATACAGATCTGGTGGCTCAGCTGACATTCTCTCGGCTTAAGCTCACCCATATTTCAAGAGCAAAGAGTTGGGAATCCATTTTCCCACACTTCTACATTGGCAAATAGAAAGAGACGCTCATATCCACCATTATTCTCACACTTTACCATGGATTCAGGAGACCTGTGTTTCCATGAAAACACTATGGCACCTCTTTCAGTGAACTTCCCTTGGGGTTCTGTCATGAGTCAGTATATCTTGTCTTCCATGTTTACAAAATACATCGCTAATGTTAAAATCCTTTTTTGATATCTCATTGTTCCTAGGACAAAGATCTAAGTCCTCAATGTGGTCTTAAAGGACCAAGATGATCCACCGCCAACCCTGATTCCATTTCTCAAAAGCGGCTTTGATCTGGGACTGTACTGGGCCTGCCCTCCTCCTGTCCTCCACCCCCACTCCCACCCTGGTTAGTCAGTGCAGCTCAGTGGTCAGATCGGATCTGAAAGGTTTTTTCTTCAGCCTTTCCTGACTGCTCCCAGCTTTCCACAACCCTCTTTACAATGGAAATGTATTCATTATATGTGTAATTATATGTGTAATTTATCCATTCAAAACCTGCTGGAGCTCCTGGTGCTGGAGACTCGAGAAGTCCAAGACCCTTCTCTGTCTAAGGTAAAACGCACGGGCAGATGTGGAACACACCTAGCCCCGCGCCTGGAGCCATGGCTGACCTCCATGCGGCCATCGTAAAGCCCCCACCCTCACCCGGATCCGCGCCTGGGCATTTAGATAAAGACCTGAGCTTAGGATTCCTGCCACCAGTTCCTGCTATCGTTTTCCCCGAGCACCTTTTAAAACGTGGAGCCTAAATCTGAACCCAGTACCTAGGTGCAATACCGCTGGCACACAATTAGCACTTTGACCTGGGAACTCCTCTGAAAAGACCCTAGAGTTGTCTCTTGTGCTGTCACCATCAGCCGCGTCATGCTGTTAGCTCACGTTGAGTGTGTGAATCAATAACTAGAGCCAAAAGGCTTTCCCCATTGACCTCTCAATATTACATGGGGAATCGATTTTTGGGTCCTAGTCAAGTAGACAGGGCAGCATTTTACAACTGTTAAAGCACGGTCTCTTTAAAAACCGGTTAGCGGCAGAACCATTTATAGAAACCAGATGATCTGACTTTTGGCCCGACCATGTTGCTAATTTTTATCATCACGTGTATTGAGCGAAGGCGGCACCGGCAGGACTGGACGCACGATAGGACTGGCTTGCACGATTTCCAATCGTACGCGGCTACTCTGTGGTTTTAAATCCAAGAAGGCGCTTTTCCCCCGTGTCCGGGAGGCGGGGCCCCACTTCCCAACGCAGGCGCCCTCGGGTCACGGTTCCGCACCCGCCCGCCAAGGGGTGACCCCATAGCCTTCAGCCCCGCCCCCCTGGCGCAGACACCCAATGGGCGGCTGCAGCCCTCTCCTGTGGGCGGGGAATTCCCTGAGATCTGTCCTGGTTGGTCCACGGGCCCGGCGAGGAGTATGACGTATCACCGCCTCCATTACTCCGCGCTGCGGCTAAGGCGTGGCTTCCGCTCCGGGCGCCTGAAGGAGACTAGGAGACACCTGGGTCGCTCTGCTTGCGTCGCTGGCCCTGCCACTACCCTCAGTCCATGAGGAAGATGCTCGCCGCCGTCTCCCGCGTGCTGTCGGGCGCTGCCCAGAAGCCGGTGAGTTGGCGTGAGCCGCCCGGTATATGGCGCGAGTGGGGCCGAGGCTGGAGGACCCGGAGAGTGGGCCGGGCCTTGGCGCGCGGTGTGGCTGTAACTATGGCGCCGCGGAGTGCTTCCGGAGCCGCGAGCCTTTATTTTGCCTCCAGGCGATGCGTTCCTGTCCTGGCCTGCGGAGGAGCCGCTGTTGGGCCGCCGGCGCCGACCGGGTGGGAGTGGGGGCTTTACGATGGCCGCTTGGAGGTCAGCGGCGGCTCCGGGCGCGGGGCTAGGTGTGCCCCAGATCTGCCCGTGCGTTTTACTGCAGACAGAGAAGGGGGTCTTGGACTTCTCGAGTCTCCAGTTGACCACCCTTCCCGGTCCACTCATTTAAAAAAATGTTTTTAATTGTTGGTAGTATTACATCTGTCCCCCTGCCCACTCTCCGGCCCCGCTGTAATTAGTCTTCCTAATTACATTCCTCTTGACCCAGAGGCCGTGTAGAATGTTCAGAGCATGGAATCCGGAGACTGAGTGGCTTCCTCACCATTTACTAGCCCTGCGACCTTGGGCAAGGTGTTTTTATTTTTAATCCTCTCCGAGGATATGTTTCTATTTATTTTGCAGGAAGAGGAAGGGAGAGAAACATTTATGTGAGAGAGTTGAACTGGCTGCCTCCTGCACGCTCCCTACTGGGGACCGAGCCCGAAACCTGGGCATGTGCCCTGACTTGGAATGAAACCGGGAACTCTTGGCTCATGGGTCGACGCTCAACCACTGAGCCACACCGGCTGGGCTGTATTGAGTTTTGAGTTGCAGTAATCTGTTAACTGGATAGAACAAGAGTGGAATGTAGCTTCATTCCGTCAGAAATTCTTGTTGAGAGAAGACTATTGTAGTGGTAATGGATTCCCCACGTATAACATTTCTATTTCTTTCATTTAATTTTTTTAATGAGGATAAGAGAGTGAAAGAGTTAATGCTCTTTACTTTGAGCCACCCCCCTTTTTGGCTATTTTGGGTATTTTTCCTGTTGCCTGCATATGTGGCACAGAGGGAAATATTGTTAAACAACTAGGTATTAACCCTAGATTGTGTGTCTGTGGCCTGAACCCCTGTTTAATAGTTCCCCCTTTTTGCAGCAGAGCAAATCCACTAACCAATGTTTCTATAAGCTGTAATAATTGATGTGTTCCCAGAGTGCTCAGTGCACTTTGGGCTCTTGGTTCTAGTGTGCTCATTCATCAGGTTTCAGTTGTGTTAACACAGGCTGCTTAGAGGGTTCAATGTGTTGGTTTTAGAATCATCATAGACCTATACTTTGTTTATAAACTTAAGTACCTGTCATTTCATATTTGAATGAGGTTGAGAGTTACCAAAGTTTTTATTTCACAGAAGATTAAGTTTCATTTAAAATTTTTATTCTTTGTCTTATTGTTTGTATTTATGACTCCTTTTGTGAGACTTTTTTTGGTGTGAGATCTTTACTACCAGTATTTTTTTTATTGACTTTTTAAATAGTAGGTAAAATGTTTCACTTATACTGGTAGAATCTGGAATTTTAAAAATATTTTCTCTTTCACTTGAATGGTTGCTCCTCAGGGGAGACCTGCAGCCAAGCTACTCCTCCCAATTCTTTTTTTAAAAAATTTTTATTTATTGATGAGAGAGGAGAGAAAAACATTGATGTGACATCAATCAGCTGCCCCCATCCCCCAGGATGGAGCCCACAATCTGGGCATATGCCCTGACCAGGAAGTGAGCCCATGACCTTCTGGTGCATGGGATGACCCTCAACCAACTGAGCCACACCAACCCTCCCAATTCTTGATCACTGCACTATGGGTGTGGGACCTGCCTGTTCTGTGTTTCTACCCCTCCTACCAGTCTTGATGTGGCTTTATATTCTTGACTGGGGGCCCGGTAGCCGGCAGTTGGACATCTCCCCCAGGGGTCCTTAGCGCTGCTGCCACCACCACCACCACCACCACCACCACCACCACCACCACCGCCACCACCACCGCTGTGCTCGCCAGCCTTGAGCCTCACCAGCCTTGAGCCGGGCTTCTGGGGGAGTGGTGCTCCCCCTATGGGAGTGCGCTGACCACCAGGGGGAAGCTCCTATGTTGAGCTTCTGACCCCTGGTGGTCAGTCCGCATCATAGCGACTGGACTGGTCGTTCCACTGTTGGGTCTATTTGCATATTAGCCTTTTATTATATAGGATTATGGGGCTTTTGATAACCTAGTCTTCAGGTGGTTCTCAGTGTTCTATAATTTAATTGTAATTTTGATATGATCATGGGAGGAGGTGAGCATAGCATTTATCTACTCCCCTATCTTTACTGGAAATCCCCAATATTTTTTTTAACTGCTAAAAATAACACATCTGTTTTGTGATTGCCAAATATAACCTTTTGTCTGTCACCTTACCCCTCTCAGCTCCATTTCTTCCCACATTTCTCAATTTTCTTCATTTATTCTTAGGTATTTTAATGGACTTTCTCTACTTCTAACTGAACTGAAACATTTGTTTCTAGTATTTAAGCTTTTTTCTCTCCAGCAACATCATTGCCTTTACTTGTTGGTTTTATTAGATAATGGTATGTTGATAGATAAAGAGATAAGAATAGTTTTCTGCCTGTAGGCTTGTACACTTGGAGGTACATTTATCAGTTAATCTTAACCCCTCACCAAGGTGAAGTCCAGTATTAGAAGTTGGATGACTATGAACATATCAAAAGTACTTTAAAAATTGTTTTTTATTTCAGAGAGGAAGGGAGAGGGAGAGAGAGATAGAAACATCAATGATGAGAGAGAATCATTGATTGGCTGCCTCCTGCACATCCCCTCCCCCACTGGGTATGGAGCCCACAGCCCAGGCATGTGCCCTTGACCTAGATGGAACCTGGGACCCTTCAGTCTGCAGGCCGATGCTCCATACACTGAGCCAAACCGGCTAGGGCCAAAAGTACTTTTTGTGGCATCTGAAGATTGTGCTTCAAGTCTCTATGAAAAGAAGTCATGTTGGTTTACACATCAGTGTGTGAAAATGTGCCAAAGTGTGGCTAAAATAGTCCGATAATGCTAATTAGTTCAATGTTTATGGTCTAACCTGTACCTTAGCCATCACATAGAATATTTTTGCTGCAAGTAGGTATGTTCAATTATAAGAATGAAAAGCTTTTTACCCCACCGAGCGGTGACAGCCACTCAAACATCAAGAAGGGAACACCGTTGTAGAGAACATCTCTCCCTTGTGGGGCTTCAGGAGGAACCTACCCAAGATATAATCTGTTTACATTATAAAACAACCCTCAAGTCCATTGTTTTTAAGTCAGGGAGTGCTAAGTACCATTTCTTTTGTCTTACACGTTTCTCACTAATATATTTCTCATACTTTGAGTACTCTGAAATATTTTTCTTGTAGATCCATTTCATAGAAAAGTGGTTTGCCTGTAATAGAGATTGAATCATAGTTTTATTTGAAAAATGATTCTTAAAGTGAAGCTTAAGCTTGCTCAGTATATCTGGTTACGACTAAAGTAGCATAAGCAAAGCGCACAGATTATCTAGTCTTTTCAACTTGACCTTTGACTTCATTATATCCTCACTGTAATTTCTTTGAAAACAAAGTGATTAAGTGGATTGGTTTAGTTTTTGCCCCCATTTTCTTTCTGCTGTTTGTCTTCAGATAGGGGTACAATCGTGTTTCATTGGCCAAAGCATGGATTCATTTGGAAGACAAGATCTCAGTGCAGTGCAGAGAAGGGAGATAAGCCAGTGAATATATTGGGGCTTATTCAAGTTCCAGGACGGCATCCTGCAAACGGATTAATAATAGTAATGACTTTAAAAATAACAGAATAAAAATACTGATATATTTGTATATTTTGGTCTTTCAAGGCAAGCAGAGTGCTGGTGGCATCCCGTAATTTTGCAAATGATGCTACATTTGAAATTAAGGTAAGAGGTGTTTTACTTGTGTTAACTTTTCTGCAGGTCCCCTTTGATATACAGTTTTACCCTTGGAACAGAACATTTGATACTTTTGCTTTTTTACCATTTTCTTTCAAGTGTTTTAGAATCAAAGGTTCATAGACATTTAGCAAAAATTTATACTTCTTACTTAGCAGCTTGCTGGTGTTTGGGGTAGAAAGAAGGGCAAGCTAAAAAAAAATTAAAGACTCCAAAGTTTAGAATGTGATTCGGTAAAACTTGTGAGTGAGAAGATTCTTTGAATACTTCTTTGAAAGTTTGTCTTTCAACCTATAACTCATTTGACTTCAAGGGGTTTACAGTGAAAGTCATCTTAGAAAGATTTCCTTCCTCCAGTACCCCATCCCATTACATAGTGAACTTTATGATATAAGGGGTCAGAAGCAATATGCAGCATTTCTGATATGTCCCTGTGGGTTTTTGAGATAAATATTATTTGTGATGGAGTTAGATCTCAGAATGGGGCTGGCAGTGTACATTGTAGTAACTGGAAGACAACTGATTCCATTTCAGAAGTGTGACCTTCACAAGCTGGAAGAAGGCCCTCCTGTCACCACGGTGCTCACCAGGGAGGATGGGCTCAGATACTACAGGATGATGCAGACTGTCCGCCGAATGGAGTTAAAGGCAGATCAGCTGTATAAACAGAAAATTATTCGTGGTTTCTGTCACTTGTGTGATGGTCAGGTGAGTGATAGTTTTGTAATAAAGTTGTGTTATTTAGGAATTTAAGTGTGGCTTCTACTTGGTGGCTATTACTCTGCCTTACACATTGGAAGGATTCCAGGCTGGTATTGTACAATAAAAGTGAAAATGCTGAGTGAGACGTGCTATGCAGCTTATGCTAAAGAATCTATTCATGCATTACATTGCTGATTTCCTATGCCTTTATGGTTTGTGATCACCTGCATTGGATATACTTTTGGGGTAAAGGGTTTTACCAAGGACTACAAATTTAAATGCCTACAGGGACCAGCTAGGTAGAATAAATGAGTGAAGAAAGCTAGCTATACAAGACAGTGTGACAAGGACTGGTGGTGAACTGTAATAGACAAGTTCCCTGCAGGTCCCACTTGCAGGGGATGTCATGACTTGGTTCCAGCCAGTTGGTCCCATATGGAAATACGGGGCTAATGCTTCCTATTCATTTCTTCAACACACGACAGAAGACTCGATTTTCTTGTGAGATTCCTTCTATTTTAATGTTGACAGCTGATTCGGGATTTCTTTTTAAATCACCTTACAGCCCAAAGAAAACATACATCTGTGGATTGGCAGTGTATGGCTTCTGCTTGGGCCTTACCCTCCACTCTGTTTCTGATCATAGAGCTACTTTCTGTGGTTATTAATGAAGAGTTCAGCTAGGTTATTGTTTCATATTAGTCTAGGAAACCTTTTATCTAGAACTGTGTATTGTATTGATTAATTGATGCTTCTTCCTTTAATGCAGGAAGCTTGTTGTGTGGGCATGGAAGCTGGCATAAATCCCACAGACCATCTGATCACAGCCTATCGGGCTCATGGCTTTACCTTTACTCGTGGGCTTTCTGTACGAGAAATTCTCGCAGAGCTTACAGGTTTGCTATTAATTTACAAAAAGGGGAAATTAATGAATTCAGTTTTTAAATCTCTCCTATTAAGATGCTAACTCCCACGCTGGTCTATTTGGTTCAGTGGATAGAGGTCAGCCTGCAGACTGATTCGATTCTGGTCAAGGGCACATGTCTGGGTTGTGGGCTTGATCCCCAATAGGGGTGTGCAGGAGGCAGCCAATCAATGATTCTCTTTCATCATTAATGTTTCTATTTGTTTCTCTCTCTCCCTTCCTCTCTGAAATCAATTTTAAAAATGTTAAAAAAAAGGTGCTAACTCCTTATGAGTTAATATTAAAATGTTGAATTAAAAAATACAAACATTTTCTCCCTTTTGAGTAAACTGACCATTTTTGAGGTCATCTGAGCCTTCAGGTTAAAGTTTAAAAAGATTAGCTCTATGAAATCAGAATTGTGTTTATTATCACTGTGACATGCCAGTAGAAATCTAGCAGTCATTGAGTAGAAGCATTTCATGGTAAACAGTGTAAATTCTAGGAATCTCCTTAGTATTTCCTTTTGTCTTTGTCCCCCTTGGCTCTTGAACTATTTAGTGTGCCAGTGTAGGAGAAATCAAATGTTTGTAACTGCCAAAGGAAAAGCAACAAACCAGTCCTAACATCTGAGGGGAACTCGATGATAGAGCTGGAAGGTTAGGACCTGGGGCTAGTCTGACCTTTATTATAAAAGGACCTGGAGAAAAGGAGGAATATATGTTTGCACAGAGGGGCAGGTGCTTATACAACTTAATTGGCCTCTAGAGTTCTGATGGATGAGCCTCTTAAGTAAATGTTTGGGTGTGCTTTTGTTTGCATATTTGGTCTTTGATGCATATGTGTGTGTGCTGCCATTTCTAGGACGAAGAGGAGGCTGTGCTAAAGGAAAAGGAGGATCAATGCATATGTATGCCAAGAATTTCTACGGGGGCAATGGCATCGTTGGAGCTCAGGTAGTGGAGGATGGGGATTGCATGCTTTCCTAGATTTGGCCCTCATCTCTGTCTTTACAATAGTTCATGCCCCAGCGAACTTCCCTCTGTTGTATTTTAGTACTCTTGGAGCTTAGAGTGCTTAACAGACCTATTGCTTCGTACCCTACCGTTTGATCATTTAATAAATAGATTTGGACAATGACTTATAAGTAAGCAAGAGCCTCTAGCAGTGGAGCTATACCTTTACTTTTTTTATTTATATTTAAGTACATTGCTTTGTCACATCCATTTGGCCCTACTTCTTCCTACTATAGACAGTGCTGATACTGGTGTCAGACCAGGAGAGGCAGATGGTCAGCATCTCAGGGCTTACTTAGAGTCCCTATGCCAACTTCAGTTGTTTTTATCAGTTAGTGAATAATGAAGAAGTAACAGCATAAAATCATATCTAGATTGTTTGGTTTACTTTCTAATATATTGAGATTTCTACAATATGTTTTTTTTATGCCTAGGTTTCTTTTTTGGCTCATAATTAATTGAATCTTTGAGTTCAGAAATGTTACTGCTTAGTAGTTGAGAGTATAATAATTACTCATCTTACTCTCTTGGTTTATTTCTAATATTGGGGGTGGGGTAAGCATAGATAGGGTTGGGGTAGGGAGAGTTTGTAGTGACAGTATAATTTCTATCTCGATTTCTGGCAAAGAGTTAAAATTCAGAGCATTAATTTCTCCCCTCATGGATTTCTGTGCTTCCTTTCTTGGTTGTCCTTAATACTAGGTGCCCCTGGGAGCTGGGATTGCTCTGGCCTGTAAGTATAATGGAAAAGATGAGGTCTGTTTGACTTTGTATGGCGATGGCGCTGCTAACCAGGTGAGTATGTGTCTCTTTCAGAGTGTTGTCTATTCATAGGTCAGTTTGTAGAGAAGATATTATTTACTAGTTAAAATAGACAAGCGAAATTTGGGTTTTATGGCCAGATTAGAGATTCACCTCTTGGCATATTTCATAAGTGCTTTATAGGGATGTGCTCCTGTGAAGGAGCTCCTTTGCTGTACCTCAGTGATTCACGAACTTTGTGGACCTTTTTGTATTTGAACCCATTGCAAACCAATTCTAAACCAGTAATGTAATGTACTGATTCAGTCTCTGGGAGGCCTTGGCATTGTCAAACTCCTCTCATAGTTTCTGAGCCTTGACTCTGTGTGCTTCTCCGATCATGGTCCGAGGCGTCACTAGTCTGTGGATGGCACTCTGTGAGGCCCTGCTCTGGATGCTGATTCTTAGATACTGGTTCACTCTGGTTATCCATTGAGTCTCTTAGAACTTATAGTAAAGCATAAAACTAGGTGGCTACACATTTTTATGTGTTCCTCTTTTCCCTGGTCTATCTACTGTCTTGGCCCCACAGAAACAAGTGGTGTTTGCTTTTTCACATCCCTTAATTGGAAAAGATGATGCTTGCTGCATCTCCATCCCACCCCCCTCGACACACACACACACACACACACACACACCAGAAGCTTCGTTGTAGATGCGGCTTTTTATACTTTATGAAAGCTTTCTCTGCTAGGTAGAATAGCAACTGTTAGGATGAAATCTGAGAAAAATAGCAAAGTGAACTCACTTGAACTTCTTATGTATACTTCCAGGGTCAGATATTTGAAGCTTACAATATGGCAGCTTTGTGGAAATTGCCTTGTATTTTCATCTGTGAAAATAACCGCTATGGGATGGGAACGTCTGTTGAGAGAGCAGCAGCCAGCACTGATTACTACAAGAGAGGCGACTTCATTCCTGGGCTGAGGGTAAGGACACCTTCATGGCTCGATGCCTCTGTGTGTGTACTTGACAATTTCAGACAAATTGAAGAGTTGTATTTTCGTGTGTTTTTTTAAATCCTCACCTGAGGATATTTTTCCCATTGATTTTTTTAGAGAGAGTGGAAGGGACAGAGGAGGGGGAAAGAAACAGCAATGGGAGAGAGACACATCGATTGGTTGCCTCCAGCATGCACCTCACAGGCAGGAGATCAAACCTGCAACCCTTAAGATCTGTGGGCTGGTGCTCTAACCACTTAGCTAACTGCCCAGGGCAAGAGTTCTATTTTCTTAATGCAGGAACAGCTCACGTAGAGTTAAAATGCTGTTAGGCGGTTTGATTTATACTCTGCCCCTTTGTCATGTATTAACAGGTAGATGGAATGGATGTCCTATGTGTCCGGGAGGCAACAAAGTTTGCAGCTGCCCATTGTAGGGCTGGAAAGGTAAGACTTTATCTGAGGCCTCTGGGCTAGAGATTGCTAGTGATGTTTATCTGTCTTAAAGTTAAAAGATTGCCTCTCCCATGTCTGTCATAGGTATGCAGGGGTAGCTACTGACTGAGGTGCATAAGATAGAAGTAGAGTCCAGTCAAGTGAAGCAGATCCCTTTATAAATAGTGTTGTCTTGGTAGCTTACCTCCTGGGGAACATTCCACATTGCTCCCATTTGGGGTAAATCTTCCAGGGCTTCCTCAGCATTTTGTCTCTATCTTCATCATGACACTTTACCTAGTTTGCCTTTTGGTTTGGTTAATTATGTGCCTCCAACCCCCCATTAACTATAAGCTGGAGTGAACAGATTGGGGACCCCCTCAATGCTCAGCAGAGAACTTTGCTTATATAATAGGCATTCAGTATAAGTTTGTCTTCTATAAATTAAATGTTATGGTTGAAGTATGTAATCTTGGTCTTGCTGTTTCAGTCCTAAGAATCTTGACTTTTCAGTTATGCAATGGAGAGGACAGTGAGGTTGGCCTGATGAGGAATATGTACCATCAGAGCTAGTGGAAAGATGTTTTCCCTACATCAATGTTCCACAGCCCAGAAAGCATGCCCAGAGGTTCACCTTTCAGTGACTTCTGTATGTGTGTCTGGGCAGTAATGTAAATTAAGATTTGGCTAGCAGTGATGAAAATGAAAGAAAGGGGGTAAAGCAGCTGGGAAATGCAGAGCAGTTAAAGAAGAGAAAACGAGAATAAAATAGAGCATGGTGAAGATGGCAGGTTGGTGCCAGCAGGCTCAGCAGTCTACATCAGGACTGCAGGACTAGGGGTCCAGGCCCTGGAAGCTGAATACCGTGCCCCTCCCAGTTTCTGAAAGAAGTTATGGGGTCTAACCCCACATGGAAACAGGATCAGTGGTTTGTAGCATGTGTTGACTTTCCCAGCCTGACCAAAGCTTTACCTTGGATTTGGGGAGGGTCTGGAAAGCCCCTTATCACCGCCCCCTTTACCAAACCCACTGTACTTCCAAATGGCTGCTGGATGACATAACAGAAAGAAGAGGTGACAGTTATTGAGCGCTTGACATATGTCAGGTAACGCACTAAGTATTATTTAAGTATTTAATTGGCACAACTCTGAGTTAGGTTATTACTGTTTTGCAGATGAGGAAACAGAATACTTAAGAGTACATAGCTAGTATCTATTACACTAGGATTGGAACCCAAGCACTTGGACTCAGAATCTCCCTTTTTAACTACTACACCAAACTGCCCAGAGATCCTACATTCACTTCCCTCCCGAAAGGGTTGTTCTTGTAGGGAGCTAGTGTTTTATGAGCAAGCTACCTGGTTGTAGCCAGGCTGGCCAAACTCCCAGCAGAGAGACAGATGGGGTCAAGTATCAGGGTACCTGCCAGCTTCTTGTTACACACTGGCCAGATCTGAATGCAGCAGGATTGGTTGCTCACCCCTACGGAACAATGCCTGAAATGGATGTGAGGTGGAAATTCACCTCCCCAGCCTATCTTTAGTTCTCCTGTCCTTTTGTGCTTTCCAGTACACATGGAGATTTGCCTTAATATTATTTTGTTAGTTTTAGTATTTTTCTCTAGTGCTTTAAAAGGATCAGTATGCTTATAGATGTCACCTGTGATTGGAGGAGAAAGACTAGCTTAGTGACCCTGAAGATAAATGCCATCCCCCTTTCTGCTGCCATACCTGCTTCCCAATAGGTTTTTCTTCCTTAAATTTAAGCTGTTTTTATAGGATTCTGTGACAAATGCAACACTGTTGGAACAAACATTCTTTAACATCAGTAGGCTCTGTAATATGCTAAGTGCCTTTTTGATTCCCAACAAATTGGGGCAGGTTCCTGTTTAAAATGAGAATGAAGAAACATGCAGTCAATCTGTATTAGAAATGAGAACAGATAAGCAGCAGTCAACTAATAAGAAATTCCTGACAACTCACCTGATTTATGGATCTGTTGAGAATATGTTTGATCCTGCAAGTGTGTGCATTTGAGGCCATTGATTGTTGGTGTGCTGTGCCTGTGGTCTTGCCTAATCTCCCTTGGGTTCTGTTTTAGGGGCCTATACTAATGGAGCTGCAGACTTACCGTTACCATGGACACAGCATGAGTGATCCTGGAGTCAGGTATGGTCATGGGAAATATGAGCATGGTGTCTAAAGTGGGATGTGCTATGAATGGTGCTATTTACATGAAAAAGCAAAGCATTTCAACATTTGCTTTTGAAGTCAAACACTAGTTGGCTTCAAGTAAACGAGTCCTGGCTGGAAAGCAGTGCCTCCCAATAAAGTGGTTCCAATATAGAAAGTATTCTGAAAAATCCCTACTATATAATATCTACATGTTAGCATGAGCAGCAATAAAATAAAATTGCCGAGAGAAATTTTTCCATAAAGCAGGTCTGATGGTGTAGTAAATTGGGGGACATTACCCCAGATTCTTTTGTGGCATTATTTTTTCTAAAGTGAGAATTTGAAAATGTTCTAGCTGGTATGGAGTGAGGCCAGCTGGCACATGGGGGCATTCAGTATGTTGAAATAGATGAGTCACAAAGAGATAGGGTACACTAGAAGGTAGGAGTTTTATGTGTCAATTAGAAATTCTGGCATATAATGCTGTGGTCCCAGAGAGTGACACAATAATAGCAGATTTAGTCAAAGTAAGCCATAGCAAGCCTTTGAGTGTAGAGTGGAGGAGTTCTAAGGGAAAATATAAAGAGCAACTTATATGGAAAAATGCACTTTCTGTAATTCTGTTTTCAAAAAATGGTAGTCCTTTTAGTGTTATTTCAAATGATGCGTGGGACAAGGATGTATTACAGGGATTCAAGAATTGGAAACCCTGTTATGCAAGTTTTTGCTGGCCACACTTCTCCAGGGTCTTAAGGGAGAAGAGAAAGGCACATTTATTTCCTGCTTGACATTCTACTGCTTCAAAGTCTGTGATTATCACTACCAAGAACCATCGCCACTGTCCCCACCTATGTGAAATTTAGAGCTCAAGGGAGTGAGACAGTTGACACAGAAAGAGGCTCCACTTTCTTCAGACCCACCTCTAGATCAAAGATGCAAAGAAAGACTTGGTCTCTGTGGTCACAATGCTGGGGAAGCCAGGTGAATTAATTGCCAGTATAGAGTTTTCTATAGAAGATATAAGCAGCTCTTACAAAATGGCAGGCTCAGTTCTTATGCTTTGAAAATATAATTCTGTCATTCCATCAGTGACATAGGTATTGATGAGCTCCATCTCAGCAACATACTTCCATATATCACAGAACTCTGCTATACTGGAACTGTTCTTACCTACTTCTGTGTTTCCCTCCCTGTAGTTATCGTACACGAGAGGAAATTCAGGAAGTAAGAAGTAAGAGTGACCCTATCATGCTTCTCAAGGATAGAATGGTGAACAGCAATCTTGCCAGTGTTGAAGAATTAAAGGTATTGTTACTTTTGGTGGTTTAAAAGTGAGCTTTCCTTTCTGAGCAATCGATATTTCTCCACACAAAAATAGCTGCCATTCCTCAGTGAACTACCTTATGGGAAAGTATCTATTATCACAGAACATTAGTCATATTGTCCAAAGCCTGTTAAAACCTCCCAAGAGCACAATTATTTTTTCCTAGAAATATAGTTTGGTGATTATTTTTATTTTTTTAATTCATGTTTCTACACTAGGAAGTGTGTGTGTGTGTAATTACTTTTAAAACATTTTTGTTGATTTCAGAGAGAGGAAGGGAGAAGAAATAAAAACATCACTGATGAGAATCATCAATAGGCTATCGCCTGCACGCCCCCTACTTGGGATCGAGCCTGCAACCTGGGCATGTGCCCTGACTGGGAATTCAAACCCTGACCTATTTCATAGGTTGATGCTCAATCACTGAGCCTCACTGGCTGAGTGAGGTTTTAAATGTTGAAGGCTTTAAAGTATAATTACTTTAAATGTTGATGTCTGTACTACAAAATATTCCTGGGTATATCATTGTGTCACTTAGTTAAATAACGTCTTTATAGCAGCTATTTATTAGTACTAGAAGAATTGTAGTTATACTAGCGACAGGATCAGAGTACAACGGCTTGGTACTTAAACTGTGTTTATTTAAAAATCTCGAACTGTAATCTGATTTTAGGAAATTGATGTCGAAGTGAGGAAAGAAATTGAGGATGCTGCCCAGTTTGCTACAGCTGATCCTGAACCACCTTTGGAAGAACTAGGCTATCACATCTACTCCAACGAGCCACCTTTTGAAGTTCGGGGTGCAAATCAGTGGATCAAGTTTAAGTCCATCAGTTAATGGGAGACTGCATGTAATGGATGGTTACATCTTCAGTGGGCTATTTGACAGCAACTATAAGGAACTCTTGTTGTTATCACCCATAGAATGTATGTAGATTAAGGTAGTAATTGCATGCGGTTTATACAGTATTGCATTAAAGGTTATGTTAGATTTATATAGGTCTAAATAGGTAACAGACTTTGCTTTAACCTTCCTTCAGATTATTTCCTTAAAAAAGTCTATTTGCTCTAGTTTGTACACTGTTTAACAGGTACTTTTTAGTTATTGAAAGGAAAAACAATTCTTTGTATGCCTGTCCAATTCTGCCACCTTATTTTTTGGGGGTAGGGGCTCATTCCCCCGTCTGGCCCAACCCCACAGCTAACAACAACGTACATTAATGCACACACACGCCTATAAGACAACATTTAGTTGTCTAACCAGGCAGTGGGTAGGACAGTTCCATTTTTAAATAGGACTACTTCACAATCATTTCAAAGGTCAAATAACTTAAAGTGCAATTAACCAGTTACTATTAACTTATAACCTAAAACTGATTCCTAGCCTTTTTGTTAAACACCTATTGTTTTATCTTTGCAGCAAGTGCTATATAGGATGTGCTGATTTTTTTCATTGAAGTAACTTAAAATTAATTTTTAAGAATTCCATAATACTCTGGACATCAAAACTGTGGCTCACAATCACTGTTCTCATAATACATACCGTTCTACTCACCTTTAAAATGTTGATAAACAGAGGCATAAAACATGAAAGCCAGTGAAAACATTTTATTAACTCTTTAGAACTTCAAGTTTTTAAATTGTTTATGGTGTTTTATGTGTGTCTGTATGAGAAACTTTAACAACAAAGATGTCAGCTCCTTGCTCCCTCTCTGTCCTCTAACTCATTAGAACTTCAACTTTTTAAATTCTTCATGGTGATTTATGTGTCTATGAGAAACTTTAACAACAAAGATATCAGCTCCTTGCTCCCTCTCTGTTCTTTAACTCTTTAGGACTTCAATTTTTTAAATTATTCATGGTGTTTTATGTGTATCTGTATGAGAAACTTAACAACAAAGATGTGGGCTCATTGCTCCCTCTGTCCCCTGGCTTTGCTGACTGATTAACCCTCATCTTGGGTCGCCGGGGCCCCCTGAGTCTGTCTTCTGTACTGGGAGACTTCACTCCAGAGCTTGCAGAGGAGCCCACCACTACGAAACAAAAAAGAGTCTTCTTTAGAGTCAAAAGAAAACTTCAAAGCAACACCACAGAATACTTCTTTAGGAGCCCTTACAGCAAAAACTATAGTATATAATTCTAGGCTTGTCTAGATTTCTTCTCTCGTTGTAAAAACTTAGTTAAAATAGAAATATGTTCTTTTCACACATGGAGGTGACATTTGTGCCCCAGCAGGAGTGGGACATTGTCTTAGAGGTAATTTAAAGATATGTTTTGGTGTAGCATGGAATGGGGAGAGCGCTTATTTCGCCTTCCTGCTTTTCCTACATAGCCTTTGGCTTCTGCCATCTCTTGGCTTTACTCCCAACTTGAACCTGGGAAAACTGCAGAGTTTAGAGTTTTCTAAACCATAGAAAAAGGAATTAAGTTCAATGAAGGGGGAAAGGTAGCAGCACTTTGTTTTCTACTGTATTTAAAAGCATAATCATATGAAAAAAGTCGTTTTCTATTGTACAGTGTTCTGAGGCTGTTCTTACCGTAGACCAAGGTATCTGAGGTCTTCCTTCGTGATGTCATTAAGAATATCAGAAAGTTTGTAACCTTCTTTAACAATCTGAAATACAGATCAAATACATAGGAAGTAAGCACCTTTGTGATAATAGCATAGGATTGTTTTTTTGGGGGTATAAATTTACCTTTTCAATAGTATTTGCATCTGCTCCTTGCATTTGCAACCAGTCTACAAACTCTTGATACGTTCTCTGCCCACAAGACAATCTGGGTTCTCTGTAGTAATTAGAAGTTTGTTTTATTGTATATTGATGTGTAACAATAAAACTTGAACAGTGACAAGGAAATAAACTATTCCAGAATGTAAATGTGATGTGAAAAGGAAATGGATCGAGCCTGTCTCAGCTGCTCTAATACACAGTGTACAATAGTCCAGAGTCAAATAATCCTTACCTGTGACCTTTAGCTAGTTTGGAACTTGGTTATGTATCACTTTAAATACTTATTCCCATCTCTAAAATGCCTTTTCTCAGGAGTCACATCCCTAACTGCACTGGAAATCAAAGGAGGAAATATGTTTTAGTGGGATTTTTGTCTCAGGCCTCATCCATTCACATTCCAAGAGGTAGCTGTAGCCCTTTTGTAAGCAGCACAGAATGAACAAAGCAGGTTTACTGAGGTGTAACTTATACAGTAAACCACCCACTTTTAGGTATGCAGCAAAGTCATGTGACCATTACAATCAAGATACAGAAATGTCCATCACCCCAAGATGTGTAGCAAGGAGCCACATCTTTTGTAATCAATCCCCCCTGCCCATTCTGATTTGTTTTCTGTCCCTATAGTTTTGCCTTTAACAGAATATTGTATAAATAGTCTATATTTATGGAGTCATAGTATATAGCCTTTTGAATCTGGCTTTTTTCACTTAGCATAGCACTTTTGCGAGTCATTCTGTTTTTAATGTACCAGTAGTTCCTTTTTATTATTGGTTAGTATTCCGGAATCTAAAGGAATACTTAGTGATTAATTAGAAAATAATCTAAATTGTGTCACGGTTAACTAGAATATTAGCTTTTAATTTTTATTTTTTTATGTTAATCTTCACCCAAGGATATTTTTCCATTTATTTCCAGGGAGAGTGGAAAAGAGAGGGAAAGACAGAAACATAAATGTGAGAGAAACATATCGATTGGTTGCCCCCTGCACAAGCCCCGACCAGGGCTGGGGAGGAGCCTGCAACCAAGGTACATACCCTTGACTGGAATTGAACTTGGGACCCTTTGGTCTACAGGCCGACGCTCTATCCACTGAGCAAAACTGGCTAGGGCTAGAATATTAGCTGTTAAATTATCTCTCAGACTTAAGTCAGAGCAAGTAGAAAGTCACTCACCATTAGATCTTAATTGTGACTGAAAGTCACACAATTGTTGACTTTGCTGTTTCAGGCTTTGCCGTATAAGATTCTTGTGTGCTCTCTCTGCTTGAAGTAGGTTTTTCAAAAGTCTGGTTTAAAAAAAAAAAAAGCCATCATTCCAGAGAGTCTAACACCATTCAATTTAACTCAAATATGTCTTTAACATTAAAGATTGAGAAAAAAGCACAATCCCAATGGTCAGTATAGTTTCTTCAAAGTTTTGTGAACAGGTTTCAGTCTGTACATGAGTAAATTCCTTGTTTCCTCCCCTTGAACAAAAAGACTCAGGGTGGGAGTATATTTTTTCTCAAAATATGCTATGGACCAAGATAACCCAGTGGAACTTAGCCAGAATGATCTGATAACTTTAACTTGTCTTCCCTAAGTCAGGTTAAGTTACTGAAACTAGTAGTCAAGCTCTTTCCTCCTCTCATGGGACTAAGCCAAGGAGATAGAAGCCTGCTGTACAGGAACTGGTCTCACAGATGCTCATACAGACCAGTTATTCCCAGGCAATATTGCTTTGGGCAGTAGGTATCATCTTCCTGCTCTGCCCCCAAGACAGCTAAAGCACCTCCATACTGCAAGGACAGTCATGCTTTGTAGGGATTTAATGTTTATCAGGCATTTGCAATTGTGCTGGCTGCTATTTACTAATTCCTAATTCTACGGAGACTGGTAACATCAACAGTAGAGAATAACCTTTGAACCTATATACAATATTCTTTTGAATTGGTAATTAGAAACTTTATCAGAAAAACATTTTTAAAGTGCTAAGTATTACTATCAACTTTCACATTTGTCGTATTTCAAAAACTTTAAAAATTTTGCCACCACCACCAGTTCATTAAGACTCCAGGTCTTCCTAAAAAAAAATGATTAGATCTGCCTAAGATTCAACGTTAGAGATCCCTAGGGGTGTATACAGCTTCTGTTCCAAAATATGTACACCTGGCACCTAATCTCTCCCCATTAAATATTAATCAACATTATGGATGATCATGGGGCCAAAAAAAAAGCATCATTTGGAACCAATACCAACTAATTTGCTATAGCTGTGGCTTATACTTTCCATAAATCCATTGATGATATGATTTCCCTAGTGCAAACAGGAATCATTTTATTAAGCACCTACTATGTGCCAGGAAGTGAATAAAACAGACCGGCTCTTGGGGGACCCTCATAACAGTGCCAGGGTCCCTTGGCTGGGAAGGCAGTCCATGAATGCCTGCCGAGGGATCATGATAAACCACAAGGAAGAGATTCAAAGAGGTAAGGTCAAACTTCCTTGGGGTCAGGGTTATGGGCCAACTGCCATAGTAGAGTGCTAACCAGTCCCCAACTTGGCTACTTCTGTAGGGGTGGGCTACAGATGTCCACTGCTGTACCAACAGGCCATGCCAGGGTTCCTATCTGGCAAAAAGACACAGAAAACTCCAAGATGCTGCTGCCTTTAATACGGCTAAGTGCTGTGCGGCCTGGATTTCCAATATTAAAGAAAGGGAGGCATTTAATCTGTCCATTGAAACTGAGAATACCCCTTTGCCCAGTTCCCTGGTGGTGAAGATTCTTTTCTGAGACCTGGGTGAAGTACTCAACAACTAAATCAATTGCCTTGCTGGCCCAGGTCATTGTTCCACCCTTACTGACCTGCCGGTTTCCCGCCTCAGTCTGTCCAGCTGGAGGCTCAGATCCTGCTGGAGCTCCTGGTACTGGGCTTCCTGGACAAGTGCTGAAGTGGGTTTGGTACCTCCATGTATTGCACGTGCTTCACTTCCAGGTGGGTCTGCTGGGGGACCATCCTGGTCCACCTCATCTGGGTCCTCATTCACCCCTTCTGTTTCCTCGGTGGCCTCAAAGTGGGCTCGGAGCTCTGTGCAATCATGGAAGAAGAAGAAAGGACCACAGTTCAACAAGACCAGAGGAACAAAAAAGCTTTTATGTTCCTCTCTTGATTTCGCTCCTTCCAACAAGACCAGGGCCTCCTGTAGCTTTTATGTCCCAATACAGTGTTGCATTGGCAGGGCCAGCAAACAGGGCTGTTCAGAAGCTGGCCCTGCCAATGCAACACTGGATTGGGATTGGGATTTTTAAAACGGAGAGGAACTATTTCACTCAGTTCTTGGCAGTGCAAAAGTGATCACCCCCAGTTTAAAGATGAGAAAACGGGGGTTTAAAGATGTTAGGTTAGCTAGCCAAGGGGAGTTTTAAAAAGGTACAACTAGGCTTCCAACCTGGCCTGTGTACATTTACTACAGAAAGTTGCCTACTTGGAGCAGGGAGTAATGCAGTCCTGGGGATTAAAGAGCTTCTCCCGGAAGCTAGAAGCTGAGCAGGGCTCCCATGCATTCAGGGGAGCAGGCAAAAGACGGAAGGAGCAAAATCCAGAGAGGAAATGGCAGTGTCAACACAAGTGTTACAAACCTTCCTTTGCAGGAAGAAGTCACCACAGAAAGAGAATCAACTTGAATAGTAAGCAGCTCTAACACAGAGTTGACAAGAGCAAAAGATATCTAGAGTTACCACACGGTGATTCTGAGGAGATGCCACCATTCAATTCTCAACCAACCAGCAAGTGTTCCTAAGGATGTATTGTAGCATTTATGCTAACTTTTAGATCATGAGTTTAGTGTCGGTTAGGCACAGAAATACAGCGCAGGAGAAATTCTTAGAATCAGAATCTTAGCCCCATAGGGTTTGTGACAGTATTGCTTTATTGCAAGGAAGTATAGCCAAGATGCGAAAGAGAGCACAATTGTTGAGCACAGGGGATAG